TTTTCTATTCAGAACAGTCCAAATGTTACATTTTTAAAGTATGTTTAAATGTGCATTGAAAGTGTTTGTATTAGCCTCTTAACTCCAATAGATTGAAATAGATATAATCTTTAATGGAGAAATATAACTATTTTTTAAATATATAAATAAGATTACCATCTACTGAAGAATTTGTTTCTGGTTTTGTCTTTGATTTTTCAAGATCTTCTTTGTATTCTTTCTTAAGCAGCTTTACTATCTTTTTGCTGTAACTTGATTTCTTCACTTTAAAAACGTCGATTTCTTTGAGAAAAAAAACACATTAAAATTGTTAAAATTTAATTCTGAAGTTTGAAGCAGAATAACTACTAATAATTTTAACAGACAGAAATTCTGAAGCCACAACAACTAATGCAAGGATGAAGACTCAGGCTGAATGCAGACTTCCAGATTTCTCCAGAAAAGGTTTCAAGTGACTTGCCAAACCTTCCACTAGGGATATGGAAAATTCATTGATTTAGGTACAGAACATTCAAGAGAGTTCTAAAACAGACTGGCATTTTTCAGAAGAAATATACTAAACCACTGAGGTGTTTCAGACATATTCTATGCAAAACATCCTGTTTCAGGGCCAGACTATCCTTAGGACACAATAGACCACTTTCAATTTGAAAGCTTTATTTCAAAACATCAAATTATCCCAAAACAACATGGTCTGGTTAGAGATTGGGCATGATTAAGTAGGAAACAAAACTCTCAATGCTTTTCCAAGCTGTTCCATTTCCAGAAGAACAAATATGGCATATATGCACTCTTTATTCTGACTCGGATGTATAGGGAATGCATATTCCCTATCCATCTCATGTGCAGCAAAAAGGCACTGCCTTTATTCTAATGTAGAAAGATGTTAGGAAAAATCACATTTTTATTCTTTCAGCCCAGAAAAGACAACCTCCTATTTTACTTGGAACACAAGGAGTCCTTCTAGCCATCGTATGAGAGATACACTGGAAAAAAGCCTTCTTTTCTTCCTTAACAAATTCAGAGATGTGTGAAGCCAAAGAAATTTCAAAACTAATTAATCCATTTTATGGGAAGAATAAACTTGCTTATTTATATTTGTGTAATTCTTAAAAACATGGATTCATTAGCTACTCTCATTTGCTAAACTCAAGGTACTTCCTTGCCTTAAATCATTTTATCTTAAACTGCTTTAGGTTATAAATTACTAGAGACTGTAAGCTGCTCTTGGTAGTCTCTCACCCAGTATAGCTACTGAGATGAGATATAAATACGGCAAAGCATAAGAGGTAGAGGTAAGGAGAAATAAGGTGTTGAGGAAATAGAACTCTCCCGAGATTGCTAGTCAATAGGTAAATAATAAAATTAGACAGTACTTATACAGCTATAAAATAATATCTGGAAAATCATCTTCACAATTCTAACAATTGCTTTGACTCTTGTTGCTTAGTACAACTCACCCAAAATTATATAGTTTTTCAAATGTAGTACTTAAATGATTATTTTGGATATTCTTTACAATACAGAAATAGGATTCTTAAAATGGATCCCACATCAGTGAGGTATCAAAAAAGGTTAGTTGTTCAGTTCCTACTTGCCTAACCAAAAGAGATTAAGGAATGTAGAGAACACACTTTTCAGGATATATCAGGTCACTGACAGGTAACATGGAAATATCAGATCTAACAGAACTTTATTGAGCAAAGCCAAGAAACATGAGAAGTACATAAGCCAAGACAATAAATCCATTGAGGATTACCAGAAATAACATATCTATTTTAAGCTGATCAAATAAGCCAACTTTATATTCCTTTTAACAATCTTGATCCTTAGTCCCTTCAAATAATGGCTTAGAACTTGATTTCCCCCCTCTTTTTTTCTTTATCTCTTCTCACAAAATTCTTTGAAGCGTAATAAGCCTCTTTTGTGAATCCAATATAGGAAAATGACCAAGGTCACACTTTTTTATTATTATTATTAAGACATAAGGTGGTTTCTTTTGTATGTCCAATGTAACATCTTTTTCGGTAGCATTCTTGCAGCCTGTTATTTTTAAATCCGCTTTCAGACAAGTCTCAATCTTGTCCGTTACAACTTGTTACTCTTTCACTATATCTTAAAACACTCTGTCTATTAAAGATAGGTAACTTCTGGACCTGCTGTTCAAAAATATCCTTCAATATGTCCAATGTTAAAATATTTTGCTTCATTTTGTATTCATCAGCCATGAGACAATATAGCAAAATCCGATCAAGTACAATCCTTTGTACTCTAATAGAATTTGCCAACTACAGGGCGGGGCATAACCTTTTCCTAGGGGGTCACAGCAACACTTGTAATAACAACACAAATAATTCATACACCATTCGAAAGCCCATCAAAAACTGAGTTTA